CACCAAAGTGGACTTTGAGTCGGTGGAGCGTGAGATGAGCGAGGAGGAGCTGTTTGCTCTGGAGATCTTACCTGACGTTCTGGAGAAACACTACGGATATAAACTCTTCATCCCGCACCGGGACCTCATTCCCAGCAGCAGTAAGAACAACACCTGACATTCACATGCTCACATGGAGCAAAACAAACAGCAGTATTGATATGTGTTCATGATATGTAAGTGTATTTTTAATCAGAGTGCAAATAGCCCGTCTTGTTAGCAGAGGCTATTAACCTTACAGAAGACACCCCTTAAAGGGGACATTGGATGCCCATTTTCCATAAGTTGGTATGACTCTTTAGCAGGCCCGGACTAATTATCGGGATAATTTATATTATTGCCTGTCATGTACCAAAGTGATTATTGCCGAGTTTGACATTCAAAAATAAATTGCACTGCGATTGTCGAATTAAATTAAATTAAATTACAACAAGAACATATTGCCCTAATGTAATACTTTGAATTTAAAGGGGTCATATGATGTTGCTAAAAAGAACATTATTTGGTGTAATGAAATGTTTATGCGGTTTAAGGTTCAAAAAACACATTATTTTCCACATACTGTACATTGTTTTCCCTCTATGCCCACCTTTCTGAAACGCGTCGATTTTTACAAAGCTCATCGGTCTGAAAAGCGAGGTGTGCTGTGATTGGCCAGCTATCCAGTGCGTTGTCATTGGCCGAATACCTCAAGCGTGTGACATAAATGTTACGCCCCTTACCAAGTTCAGGAAACTTTCCTCCATAAAATGCGCTGCACACATCTGAATATTTGGGTTGAACTATTCTGGAACAGTGTTGTAAATACAACTTAACCACTGATTTCTAGTCGTGTCATCTTTGGAAGACCAAACAAAGTAGTTTCGCTTTCACAACGAAACACACAGCGTCTTCACGACATGACGGCGGCAGCAACAATACTACAGCGAGAATAAAAGTTACGCCTTCTTTCTTTGCATGAACATTTGGGCATGTTATGCAAATTCACATAACTTGAAACTTGAAATCGCATCGTATGACCCCTTTTGCTAAAATAAATTTAGATTTTGTGCAAACAAATTACAATCAGGTGGCTGTTTTGCAACAAGAAGGAGACAGTTCTGTTCATAACAGTAGACCTGCTGGTGAAGAAGTGACAGGTACAAGAAAAATAGCCAAAATAATAATCATAATAAAAGTACACACATAAACAGAAGTGAGAAAACGAGATATCAAGGGAAATGAAGAAACTGGAAAGGGAAGGGAAGGTGCCGTGCGAGAGAGAACCTTTAATTACTTTGCACAGCCCGAGCCTAAGGATTTAGACATTTTTTATGTATAAATTGTTGTGAGTGTATAGCAGGAGGATCTAAACTCAGTCCTGGAGGTCCACTGTCCTGCAGAGTTCGGCTCCAACCCCAGTTAAACACACCTGAACATCTAATCAAGCTCTTACTAGGCATACTAGACACTTCCAGGCAGGTGTGTTGAGCTGAGCTGGAACTGAACTCTGCAGGACACCGGCCCTCCAGGACCTGTTTGGACACCCCTGGTGTATAGGATGGCATCTACTGAGACGTGGCATATGCACAGAGACGTGTGACATCTGCAGCAAACAGAGAGTCATGTGAAACAGGAAGAGGCAGTGCCATTCACTTCCTGTGAGCGATGCACTTCTCAGATGATGATGAAGGATTGCCATACACAATATGAAGAGTTGAGACACATTTAACAGCCACAGAAGCTTCAGGACTGCGATTAAACTTTACCTCATGTAAACTCAACATGTCAACCAAGCAATATGTCGATGCAATTGAATTCCTAAAGCACAGTTGTAGTAAAATATGTGGCGTATAATGATTTTAATCTTGATAAACAAGCATGTAAACACTTTAATTGCACCTATTCCACTCTGACCAAAGAGCGCGTGTGCTTGTGATGATCATGGATGACATGTGACGCTCCTGCAGTGATGCATACATTTGTAAACATGTCATTAAAGAAGGCTTGTTTCTTTGTCCATCAGACATCATTCTAAGGTTAGATCTTGTAGAAAACTTCAACTGGATGTATATTAAGTTTCTTCATGCATGTCTGTGGCACAAATGGAGTGCATTACAATATTGTGTTACTTCCCTAAAAAAAGTAACTAATTGCGTTAGTTACTTTTTATGAAAAGTAATGCATTACATTGCATTTGCATTACTTTTTCTCATCTGGGCTGGGCTTGCTTGTTTGTTTTCAATACAAAAGAGTTCTATTTTTGGCAAATGTAAAATCCCTTTCACACCAAAAGTGAAATGAATGAGTCTCAGACAGATTAGAATGCAGGAGAAGAAAGTTCAACACTCTTCAGGAATAAAATAAATAAATAAATGAAACACAAATGTTTATCTAAGGTCATTTTTGCTTATTTGTAAGGTTGAATTGGATCATCAAAGGTCAGCAGCAGCAAAGACACTGGTTAATAAAATGTGATTAAATACATAAAGGATATTTGTGTTATTTAACATATTTAATTATTGCAGGTTTGAGTCATATTCTGAGTTTGCATTTCCCTGTTTTTACTCATTTTGAGGAATACTGAATGTGTTTTTGTGCAGGTGAGATGAGTAAATGCATGTTCTCATTTAGTCTAGAACTACAGTAACATCATGTTCACACAGCGCACACAACACATCTGCACCCACTCCTGATTCTCTCATCATGAGGACAGGAGAGCCGTCAGTCAGTACATGAGGAAACAAAGCAACTGGTGTTACTTATTTGAAAAAGTAACTCAGATATTGTCTTGTAAATTAAAAAAAGTAGTGCATTAATTTACTAGTTACTTGAAAAAAGTAATCTGATTACGTAACTCGCGTTCCTTGTAATGCGTTACGCCCAACACTGATACAATCTATATTTAACTGTCAATGCTTTGCACAAACAACGGAAAGCTCTAAAAGCAGATGATAGTTGTCACTCTTTCTGAAGAGTCTGTGTTTGCTGGTGTGTCACATCCGTCTCTCTCTGTGTCTCTAGCGTACATCGAGGACCTGGCGCGCAGCGTGGAGCAGAGCAGGCGTCTCATCGTCGTCTTGACCCCTGAGTTCGTGGCCCGCCGTGGCTGGAGCATCTTCCAGTTCGAGCCGCGGCTGCACAGCATGCTGGTGACAGGCGAAATCAAGGTGATCATGATCGAATGCTCGGACCTGCGCAGCGTCATCAACTACCAGGAGCTGGAGGACCTCAAGCACACCATCCGAGTGCTGTCGCTCATCAAGTGGTACGGGCCCAAGAGCAGCCAGCTCCAGTCCAAGTTCTGGAAGCGGGTGCGCTACGAGATGCCTGCGAAGAGAAAAGAGAGCATGTCCCGCCGACAAGTCCTGGACTCGGGCGAGCAGGGGCTGTTCGGCGACCTGCAGGCCGTGTCGACCGTGGCTATGACCGCCACCTCGGCGTCGCTAGCGCCGGCTCACGTGGAGATCCCGGACTATAACGAGCCGGGCCACCTGCAGATGCACCACTTCTGCCGCAGCTATGAGTACGAGCTGCCCAGCTCTGCCATCGCCACGCTCAGCGGCCGGCACATGTACTGCAGTCTGCCCATGACGCTGCTGAACGGACGGCTGACACAGAATAACATCGGCAAACCCAAGAGAGACATTCACTTGAGCAGCCCGTTCGTGCCGCTGTCCGGACCAGAGCTTTCCAGTGACATCTGGTAGAGCGGCTCCGCCAAACACAGCTTCGCCGATCTCATCCTTCCTTCCTTTTGACCTGCATGAGTTCATCTTGTTAAGATTTAAAAACTAATACATAATGGTTTATCTGGCTCTCTTCCAGCCTTTAGTGTTTTCATACTTTGTTCCGACATATGAAGAGCTACTGATATTGTTTTCTTACTTGAATTTTGAGGTAATTATGCCATGTACAGTTATTACATCAAACGCTACATCTGCATTGTTTAAAGAGTTTATTTGACATTCTGACTTCGGTTGTTATTACAGCACAATAATGTAAAGACACATCAGCTCTGAGCTTTAAAGAATATTAGGTTCTATTTATGCAAATAATTCCTATTCAAATCTAATAAGCACATTGATATTGTTTGTAGCTAGTCGAGGAGGTATTTACATATTTGATACAACTTATCATTTGTCTTATTTCCTGATCGTTTGGCTGTTTTCTTCCTCAGAATTCGGTTTTGATGATGTTTTTCATGCATTATGGAAAGATACATTTAATGGTGTATCTGGTACTACGGAGAAAGCGTTCAGTGCTGGCAGTGATCAAGCACTTTTGATCAATACTGATATGTATTATCATTTTATTGAATTTGTATGCAATGTTGCCCACTAAAATGATAGATCACTAAAATCAGTGATTGGATTTTGTATACTCACGACTAGTATGCCCTTTTACTCTTCAGATACAGTCATGTGTGGAAGAGTATGAATATCCCAGCCATTATTTAACAAATTCTCACAAACCAAGCAGCTTGTCTGATTCACAGGTTTGTGGGTTTAGCCTATAAATAATTTGTAATATACCTTTCAAAAATAATAATTGTCATCAGACCAACAAAATAAATAAATATATGAGTAATTGACTCTGAGAGATGCCTTTTTTCATTTTTAGTTTGTTGTATGTGATGAAACTGACCATAAAGGTGGCAGAATGTTTACAAGGGCCAGCTTTGTGGCTGAAGCAAACTCTGATAAGCAGAGATTGGAAGCTTTGTTTTGTTGCAGGCAGAGGAAGGCGCAGCTTTTTCACTTTTTACTGGTCTTCCGGGTTTCCTGTGTTTGTCCCGAGAAACGCCAAATCCTACTAAAGCTAAGGAATAGCTCATGAATATTAATTAGATCGAGAGGCTGCTCCCAAGAGCGTCCAGGAACACGAGCTCATTAATATGTATCAGCCGAGAGCGCGCTGCGACACGATTGGCTAATCCGCCGTGTGAGAAACGCCTACTAACAACAACTCTTCAACTCAGTTCCCACTGCTGGCAGAGAGGTCCGTTATGTCGTTCAGATCCCTCGCTATAGTAGCATTAGATGCGCTGAAGATGAGCAGACATACTGTTCCTCGAGCCATGAACAGTTAGGAAACTCTGAACCCGGTGGACGAGCTGAGGGAAATGGCGAGAGACTTCACCACAACGAGTCTGAGTAACATCGACCTCGCCTCTTTACGGGTGAGTCCGGTCTGCTCTGTTTTCAGCGCTTTTCGGTCGAAGTTTCTGTCAGTGATTTACAGCGAGACGAACTTTGCTCTGAATGTCATTTAAAGCTCGCGAAACTCGTTTAGATGCGCTTGCTTCACTTGCCAGGCATGTGTGATGGTCTAGATGTGTGCATCAAAGCCCAGTGTCTTCATCTGACCCTTTATTTCAGGATCCTGCAGGGATCTTCGAGCTCATCGAGGTGGTCGGCAACGGGACCTATGGACAGGTTTACAAGGTTTGTGCTGGAAACTCGTGCTATTTAGTGAAACACGCTGGTTTTGTTTCTCCAGGGCCCTGCTGGTTCTCCAGCAGCAGTGCCATCAACAGTTTGTGGGAGTTCTACTGAAACCTGCAAGTGTGGTTTTGGTGTCTGACAGTCTCTGGGTGGAGCTCACTTCCTCATGAAGGTCAGAGCGTGTTTCACATCAATATCGGATCTTTAAACATCCTGTGAGATGTGTGACACCCTCATGTGGATCGTCTTGCGCAAGTAAAAGCAGTACAGTGTAGGTTAGGACAGCCTTAGGATTCCTGTTTCAGGATTTTATACTGTAACAGTGCATCATATAAGACTTTATCCATGCTGCTGCATGACACAGAGATCTCTGATACACAGATTAAACCCATCCATTAAAGGGACGGCTCACACAAAAATGAGAATCCTGTCATCATTTACTCATACTGTATGAGTTTCTTTCTTCTGTTGAATACAAAAGAAAGTATTTTGAATGTTGGTCCCCATTGACTTCCATAGTACCCCCCCCCCCCCCCCCCCCCCCCATTCCATGGGGAATAGCACCTTTCTTGATACCCATATTCTACAAAATATCTTCTTTTTATGAAAGATGTAGTAAGTTCATACAGGTTTGGAATAACATGAAAGTGAGTAAATGATGACATGGTTTTAATTTTTGGGTGAACTGTCCCTTTAAGAAAATTATTTGCGATTATTTAAATCAGTTTCAGTCTAGAGATGTTGCATTCTAAATCCAGGAATCTGCTTGGGCAGCATAATACAGTATTTCTTGATTTGCCCAGTGGTGAAATATCCGTTCTGATTATTAGTAGTAATTGCAGAACTAGTTCTGCATTTCGATGTTTCTTACACACATTTGTTTCCTCATGTATGAGGCAACACAGATCCAATGCACCTCAAGTGTAGTGTGCTTTCACTGTTACCACATCTTTAAAATCCACATGAAACGGAAATTGCGACCGGCTTTTCTTCTCTCTTGTGACATCATGCATGCAAACTTGTCGAAAAGTGTCTTAAAGGGGTCATATGATGCAATTTCAATTTGTCCTTTCTCTTTGGAGTGTAACAGGCTCTTGGTGCATAAAGAAGATCTGTGAAGTTGCAAACACTAAAGTCTCAAATCCAAAGAGATATTCTTTATAAAAGTTAAGAGTCAGCCACGCCTACCTACCAAAATCATCAACCTGCTGAGGTCTGGATTCAGAATCACACCGAAATTCAAAGTAAAAACTGAAGTTACAGGCTGATCAAACTTGCATGACTTTCGTCACAGCAGCTCATAGTGTAAGTCAGTGGTGTGTTTGACCCCCGTGTGCCTGGATGAACTCCTGACAACATCTAGACATGCTCCTGATGAGATGATCTGGAGGATCTCCTGCCAGACCTGGATCGGGCCATCAGTGAGCTCCTGGACAGTCTGTGGTGCCTTGTCTTGCGGTTGTCTCTCCAATGTACCTGTTGTGACTTTCATTGAAAGTGAAACTGATTCACAATCACATTTGTTTCCTAACTGGACAGACTGATCTCCCTGGAGTTCAACTGACTCTGTGTTTCCCGTGTTCCCTTAACTTTTTAAACAGTGTATTAGCATGTCTCCAAGGCCCAGTTCCACCTGCTATGAAGAAGGTTTTGATCACAGATCGGATCACACATCACCGTTTGCAGCTGCGAGTAACTAGAGTCTCCCCTGAAAACTGATTCTGCGACTGCATTTATGACACTGTCACTGTGCCGCTGTGTGTTGATGAAGCTCAGAAATAAATAAAAGACAACACAAGAAACAAAATAAGAAGGCGTGTATGTACATCAGATTATAGATCAGAAGATCAGTGAAGTCAAGCCTCATTTGTTTCTATAGTGCTTTGTACAGTACAGATTCAAGCTTCAAGGGCTAGACAGAAGAAAAAAAACAACAGTGTTAAAGTTGCAAACTCCATCAATTACTGAACTAATTAGATTTCAGGTGTAAAGGAGCTCTACATAAAACAATAGTTTCATTATTTAGCTCAAGTCATGACTGTTTAAATGTGCCTTCACAGTGTGATTATAATGAGATTTAGGCAATATTGTGAGTAGACTTCACCTCATGTAAACAGAAAAACCATACTTTGGTTCATAGTGATGTTATGAAGATAAAAAGTGTCTCACACAGCGTACGACAGTTAGCAGAAGAGTTAAGAGTTTTAAATATGGATATTTCTCTTACAAAAACTCATTGAGTCGCTACAGGACGTGTGGGACACTTTTTATGATGGATGGATGCGCTTTATTGGACTTCTTTTGGACTATTGAAAAAAACCCATTCACTGCCATTATAAAGCTTGGAAGAGCCAGGACATTTTTAAATATAACTCTGATTGGATTCGTCTGAAAGAAGGAAGTCATACACACCTAGGATGGCTTGAGGGTGAATAAATAATGGGCTAATTTTCATTTTTGGGTGAACTGTCCCTTTAACAGTTGTGTCTTATTATTAGACAGACATTTGTCCGTATCAGACAGCATGACGACAGCAAACAATCAAGTTTTTTTTTTAAATTTTTTTATTAAACATTATTCGAATGTTAACACTTAAGGCATATTTTAACAATCATAAATCTGTTTTTTTCCATGTTGAAACAGCATTTAAAGAGAAAAAAAAACAATACAGAGAAAAAAAAATAAAATAATAAAAATAATAAAAAGGGTGTGAGGGTCTTAATCTAATAACATGTATAAGTCCAAAGCAGAAAGAAGTTTCAAGGCATTTCTGTCCATCATCCATTGAAGGGATTTTGCAAATAACTTCAAATCATTCTTCAATCCAGTGAAATGGGGTTTAATCTTTAAATACTTACATCTGTATTTATTTATTACAGATATCTATTAAAAAATCTAAATTTTTTATCATTTATAAACACTCCAACTTTAATTGAGGTCACATTCAAAGGATGCAGCGATATATCTTTAGATTGTATCCAACTTTGAAATGAAAGCCAAAATTCATATACAAATTCACACTGAAAGAAAATATGTTCTACTGTTTCAATGTCTTTCTCACAAAATCCACATGAATTATTTTCCCAATTAAAGCTCTCTAGTAAAAAGCAATTAAGCAATTGGATGTCGTTTAAGATTTTAAATGTCACTTCTTTGGCCTTGGGAAGAATTAGGTATGATAAATATTGCTTCCTTGCTTCCTTCGCCTCATCCTCACTGAAGTCTTGCAGAACATATTTTCTTTTCAGTTGATTAGGATAATACTGTTTAGATAACACCTTTCTAATAAACTTATTTGAAAACTGTTTGCTATTTAACCCTCATGTGGTGTCCGGGTCCTTTTTGCTCTGAAAATGTTTTATTTTTCCCGAAAATACTAGTTAATGTTATTGCATTGGACTGACATTTTGTGACTTTGTTCACAAAGGGTATAACTACTTCTAAAAAAAATTGGATAATTTTCATACTTTTCTGGGGGAGATTTTTCACCTTGTTATACCTACGAGGTTACAGAGCAAAAAAGGCACTCCCTCAAATAATTTCTTATAAATCACTCATTATGCTATATTATCACCAAATATTGGATTCAATCTTTTTGTCAACTTCTTATCTTTCATTTAGGACTGGTTTTGTATTTATATTTGCTTCTGATTAACCGTAGGCCTCATTTATCTGAGAGTAGACACCTCGTTTTTTGAGTGAAAAAAGCATTATTTATGAATAATTTTCCCAATATTAAATAAAAACTGATGAAAATTTGCACTGTTTATCACACTAGTGTACTTTAATGTTTAATCAGGGAGTTTGCTTTGAAAGGCATTTATTTTGTACAAAATGGCACAAAGTCACACTTGTGGTGTTCCAGGGCAAAAATGACCCAGCCTCACAAAATTGCTTATAAATCACTCATTATGCTATATTATCACCAAATATTGGATTCAATCTTTTTGTCAACTTCTTTTCTTTCATTTAGGACTGGTTTTGTATTTATATTTGCTTCTGATTAATCGTAGGCCTCATTTATCTGAGAGTAGGCACCTCATTTTTTGAGTGAAAAAAGCATTATTTATGAATAATTTTCACAATATTAAATAAAAACTGATGAAAATTTGCACTGTTTATCACACTAGTGTACTTTAATGTTTAATCAGGGAGTTTGTTTTGAAAGGCTTTGATTTTGTACAAAATGGCACAAAGTCACACTTGTGGTGTTCCCGGTCAAAAATGTCCAGCCATTCAAAGTGAATGGGAAAGAATGAAAGTAATAGAAACTATTAGTGTTCAGGAGCATGTTGATCATGTTCATGTTCACAAATGTACGTGTTCTTGCAAACATAAAGGCCTTGGACCAACAACGCAATAGAAACTCAATTCCACCCATCTTTTGAAAAATTGCATTCGGGATGCTAAACCAAAAAGAATCTTTGTGACAAACAAAGGACTTCAACCATTTCAGTTTTAGTACACCATTCATCACAGAAAATTCTATAACATTCATGCCACCATCTTCAATACTCTTAATCATGTCAGCTTTTCTAATGTAATGGCATTTATCCTTCCAAATAAAATTGAAATGTATCTTGTTTATTAATTTAATCATGTTATCTGCAATTTCTAATGAAAAGGCAGGGTAAATAGCTCTTGATATACTCTCCATCTTAGATAGTAGAACCCTACCAAAAATTGTTATATCCCTTTGTAACCAGGAATTCAATATTGCTTTACATTTATCAATCTTTCTAAGAATGTTTTCTTTTTCCCTTACTTCTTTGTGTCTGGTGACCGTGATGCCCAAATATTTTTTTTAACCTGTATATTCTCAATTAAGCGAGCCGGTTGATTATTCAAAGCAAGAATTTCACATTTATTAATGTTCAATGTAACACCTGATGCTTTCGAGAATTGACTGATTGAATCTAACGCTGTGGAGATCTGCCTTTCATCTTTTAGAAATAGAGGTGTATCGTCTGCAAACTGACTTATTATGATGTGTTTTCCCA